TGGCTTTGGGTACACTTTATATACCAAGTGATACCATGGTTGTTACAAATACTATTAGATGTAATCACGTAAACTATACAGGAGATTTTTAACTGCTTAGTAGTTTGAGAATAACTTCCTGTTGGCAATCTCTTTGTCAACTGTAAATTAAAAGTTTGTTAAGGTCAGTCTATTGATAAAAAGTAGGGATGCACTGATACGGAATACCGATACCGGAAGTCCCATTAAGGAAGCCAGGCGGCGTGTAAAGACTCGCCACCCGGCTTCCCAATTAGCAGAGAAGCCGTCTCCATGCACCCTCGTCACCAAGTCAGGGGGCGGGTAATGACTCGCTGTCCGGCTTCCTGATTGGCCAGCTTCCCATGACGAGCCACTTGGTGACGAGAGAGCATGAAGCCGGCTTCCCGACCAATCAGGAAGCCGGGCAGCGTGTAATGACTCGCTGCCTGGCTTCCTTATAGCAGAAACTCAGGTATCGGGCTAGGCATCAGAGCATTTGGCGAGGACGAGTACTCGCCCAAATACTCGGCATTGGCACCGATACTAGTATCGGTGCATCCCTGCTAAAAAGTCAAATATATTGTGGACTTATGGCATTGTTAGGCCTGAATCACACTGAGCGTATTATCGCAGCTGATTTGGCACAACAAAAAGCATCCCCCCCCCCAAATCCCTTTTATTCTTATGACCCCTGTTCACACCTGAGCATTTTGTCGCAATAAGCAAAACGCCTGTTGCTGGAAAAAGAACATGAGCTTCATTTTGGCAAATTTTTTGTCCCCATAGAGTCAATAGGAAACTATTGGAAACGTGTGTTGCAATTGGTGTTTATGTATGTTTGCGCTCGGTTTTTGCCATTTACATCAATGTGTCGTAATCTGCTTATAAAAGCGCATTACTTAATGTATGCATGTAAAAATGTGCAACGATGCGCAAAAGCTGCAGCAAAAAAAGCAAGTTTGTATGCGCAAAAACTTTGCCGCCTAGGTGTGGATCAGGCCTAAAATATGTGATGAGCAGATATATAGGCATGGGCCATAGCTATGATTATATGTAGATATGATTGTATGTAAATAGTAGACGTGCCATTTGTTTCGTTCCGAATTGAAATTCATAGAAATTTCTGTAAATTCGGATGCATCCGTTTTTCTGAATGACAGAAATAATGAATCTGAACGAATCCAAATGTTTGATAACGAAATTCGGATACATCCGAATTTCATTAGTAAACAAAACACAACAAAGCTGTCATTTGCCTCTCTGCACTTGTATCTCAAATGAAATCAAAGTAACACAATATTGTTACAAAATGTAAATAATGAAAGAAGCTGAGAGATCTGTGTTATTCTGTAACAGTTTCTTCATTCTGAATCCTTTGGGTCTGGTAGGAATGTTAGGGGACCTCAATGTAAAAAAAAACAGCGGATCTCCTGCAATTCATACTGGACCCAAAGGGAATTTTAAAGGGGAATCCAACTCTAAAGAAGAAAGAAAAAAGGAGGGGGTCCCCCCTCAAATCCCATACTGTTAATCTGGGCAGCATCCTGGCAGGGCAGGGAAGGGAGAGCGAGCTGCCCCTCCCTCCACCATACCAGGCCACATGCCCTCGGCCTTCAGAGGGTGCTTTTCAGGGGGGGGAACCTTCTTGGGGGGTATAAATAGGAGGATAAGGCAGATGGCGCCCTTGCTCTCTGATGTAGGAGGTGGCTTTCCCTCTCCCCCTAGACTGGGGAATGGGTTATGTATTTATACTTATGGGTTTATATCTATATACAGTATAAACCCATAAGGTGTGGTTGAAGTACATTGTATGTTCATTGCTGACAAATGAATGGCTCTTTAAATGTTGTGGGGCTACAACTCTTGTCGAAGCATGGTGAATCTTGTAGTCCCACATAAGCTTCAAAACCAGTGATGGCTGTGACCATTTTTACACGGGACTTTAAAGGCCAGAATGTAGAGGTGAAACTCGAATAATTAGAATATCGTGCAAAGTTTATTTATTTCACTAACGCAACTTAAAAGGTGAAACTAATATATGAGATAGACTCATTACATGCAAAGCAAGATAATTCAAGCCGTGATTTGTCATAATTGTGATGATTATGGCTTACAGCTCATGAAAACCCCAAGAACCCCAAATCCACAACCTCAAAAAAGTAGATTATTACATGCAATCAATAAAACAAGGATTGTACATAGAACAATATCGGACCTCTGAAAAGTACAAGCATGCATATGTACTCAGTACTTGGTTTGGGCCCCTTTTGCAGCACTTACTGCAATTACTTTTGCACGATATTCTAATTATTCGAGTTTCACCTGTATGTCTTGTGTCATCATTTGCTAAGAAATAAAGGTAACTTTTGACTCGGAGCTGTGCGCTTCCCACCTTCCTTCATCCTATCGGTGAATGAGAGTTCACCAGTCTCCTGTCATTCTCAACCCTGAATCCCCCCTAAAGTAGTCCTGGACTAACAGAGAAAAGAAGAGGAAACAGTAGAGCATGAAGGGTGTTGGGGAAGGAGAAGCCTGAGTAAACCATGCTGTCATTGATCAGAACCTGAAGTACATGTCAAGTATAGACAGCAAGAGAGCCGTCAGAAGTCCGTACACTAGGGAGCAGTACACACAAGGACTTTGGGTAAAAAAGGTTTTGACCTGGATCTGGATATTAGGTGCCACACCCCTGGTAATAGTATGCAGAAAAGATTATTTTAAAGAAAGAAAAGTGGGGTTTTGAAAGCACCAGATAATGACAACTCCAAACAGAAAAATATATAAAAAAATATATTTATTTCGTATAAATCTTAAAAAAGAAAAAAAAAGGGGGCTCAATGCCAATAATAAAAATGATTAAATTAGATAGTCCCTACAAAGCTCTTTCCACATACACAATACCTCTCCATTTACAAAACCGACATGATTCACCCTATGTTCTTATGGACATACATGATTGGGGTTAAAGTTCCAATGACCAGAATACATACAGAGAGGCCCTTACAAGGATGTTCGTAGGGCTGTGGAATGGAATAATGCTCTCCGCTAGCACTGCCCTAGGAGCAGAGTGTGACCCTAGGAACAAAGTTGAGAAAATAGGTCACCAGCACTCCAAAAAGTTAAGTGCTGGTGACCTATTTTCTCAACTTTGTGTTTTGCACGGTGCCATCCGTGTTAGTTACTGCAAGCACCACTTTTGTTTATTGTCCGGGACTGCTGAAAAGGTGTGCGGAGAGCACCTCCACCAACTGCAACTTGACCCTAGGAACAAGACATGATTCAATTGGTAAATAGGAACAACTTTTCGAACATGATTGGATACAAAAGACAATGCTAGTTCAGTTAGAGATCCGCATGATTCCTCATCCAACTTGATGGATTTAACGTATTTGTCCACAATATTACTTCATCTAGTATCCACAATATATAAGCATTAACTCTATGGGTAGTGCTTGAAGGGTTAGAGGGTGGAGCAGATCTGTTCTCCACTAACACCAACCCGCAAGCGAAGTATGACCACCTTGAGAGTTCATGCAAAGGTAATAACAATGATTGTCAGGGATTCCACATAGTTTATATGCTTAGGGTACATTAAGGCATCTGCAATATGCCTTAATCATGTACCCTAAGCATATAAACTATGTGGAATATTGTGGACAAATACGTTAAATCCATCAAGTTGGATGAGGAATCATGCGGATCTCTAACTGAACTAGCATTGTCTTTTGTATCCAATCATGTTCGAAAAGTTGTTCCTATTTACCAATTGAATCATGTCTTGTTCCTAGGGTCACACTCTGCTCCTAGGGCAGTGCTAGCGGAGAGCATTATTCCATTCCACAGCCCTACGAACATCCTTGTAAGGGCCTCTCTGTATGTATTCTGGTCATTGGCACTTTAACCCCAATCATGTATGTCCATAAGAACATAGGGTGAATCATGTCGGTTTTGTAAATGGAGAGGTATTGTGTATGTGGAAAGAGCTTTGTAGGGACTATCTAATTTAATAATTTTTTATTATTGGCATTGAGCCCCCTTTTTTTCTTTAAGATTTATACGAAATAAATATATTTTTTATATATTTTTCTGTTCGGAGTTGTCATTATCTGGTGCTTTCAAAACCCCACTTTTCATTCTTTAAAAGAATCTTTTCTGCACACAAGGACTTTGCTGCGTATTGGGTTTCCTGCGGCTAGAAACCCCCATATTCTTGTGGCAGGAATCTCAGGTGTCTTGTTCAGATTCAGCCACTCTACCCATTAAAGTAAATGACAGGGCGACAGTGGCCACCTGTCAGCAGCATATCTGGTACAATTACATGCGGTTTGGGATAGATGACTGTTGCTGGACGCAAGATAGATGCATCCAGGGACAATCATCTATCCCAAACCGCATGTAATTGTACTATGTATGGTTACATGCAGTCTGCCGCTGACATACATGGACACCGTCACCCTGTCATTTACTTCAATGGGTACAGCAGCCACATCTGAACGAGGAAACCTCGGATTCTTGCCGCAGGAATCCCAAAATGTCATGTGAATTTAGCCTTACTCTTCAATACTAACAAACTTCTTAAAAACTTTAGCTTCATTAAACGTTTTTTACAACTACAAACCTCAGCCCCTCTATAAGGTTTTATCACAGGTGAAACTCTGGGATTTCAGAGGCATACAGGGTTCATTTCAGTTTGTAGCAGAAGTTCAGAGGGGAATAAATCTACACTGCTAATATAGATAAGCAAATGCCTCTTACTGCACATGGATCTGTGACTAGACTATCCAGAGTTCTGACTTCAGCCCCTCGATCCTGGAGACCCAAAAGGTTTAGTTTTTCTAATCAGCCCACCTAATGGGGCACCCTTCCACACACATGTAGTCACCAAAAATAAAAATGCATTAAAGATGGAGATCAGATATTAGAAAAACACAAGTAGTTTTTATTAATGAGCTATTCACAACGATAAAAAAAACAAAAAAAAACAAAAAAACACTACTACATATCCAGAATGCATATTCTAGTATGATCACACAACTCAGTCACACCAACAGTCTACTGACACAGAGCAGAAAATTCAGGATACAATTCTAATCCAACATCCTCTCAAGTCAAAGGTAGGCACTTAATGTGCAAATTGAAAATCTCCATCATGTGCCACCAAACTGACGTTAAGAGGTGTAGATTTCTCTGATCCAGCACCGTTTATGTTCCAAGTCCACGATATAAGGGTCTTCCACTGATGGTCAAATCATGTAGACAAAAACCCTGAACCCCTAACTGTACAAAAAAAACCCCAAAAGATAATTGGCATTGTGCTCAGATTCATCAATCTACATGCCATTAGGACAACTATTATACTATTATAGCACCAGCTCCACATAAGGCCCATTTATTGTTCAATACTGTTCTGACAATTCTGTACACGTCTTTTATTACAAAGCCAATACTCCTCCCATAAATAAACCCTCCCAACTAACACACTGCTTATGAACAGAACTTTTTTAAGATCCCTCAGGAGAAGGTGGTCTCTGCATGATTTCCCAATAAAGCAGGAGGTGCACGTGGGCTCTGACGGGGAGCTGGCCGGACAAGAGGTGGAGGACGAGCTTGGAGAAGACGTCCCGGCTGGAGCGGAGGTGGCTGACGATGAAGTATAGGAACAGAAGGAATGGTTGGTCTCAGTAATGGGGGCGGTAGGGACATGGTGGCAGCAGCAGTTGTAGAGGCAGTTGAAGTTGTTGTTACTGTCTGGGAGGAGGCAGAAACAGATGTAATTTGTACCTGCAAGAGAAGAGTATGAAAACTTAGTATGTTTTATTGTCACATTAGGCAATTTTTATATAAAAAAAAAAAGGCAATTTTACTTCAGAAGTGCACACCTTATCCATGGTCTGGTGCCAGGATGAAGCCTCCTTTGGCAACTCCATAGGACTTCAAAACATATCAAATGTTTGTGCATCTGCACACAGGTCGTTGGCTGTATAAAAAGCATATTACATAAAGATGCTAGTAGTTTGCTCCTACCTTGCCATAGGGTTAGACGTGGCTTGAAACAATGCAATGTGGAACAGGTGCATTATGGTTTTGTACTGTAATTTTTATGTAATAAAGTGAAAGAGCTTTTTATACAAAGACCTGTGTGTAGCTGCGCATTTTTTCGGAACAGTATAAAACTGGACAGTTGAACCTTTACTCTGGCAAAAAGTTTCCAATTATGGGAGTCAAACAGTAAAGAAAAATATTTGCTGCAACAACAATAAATCATATTCTATTTTGCTTGGTAGAATTTTAAAGTGTATATGTCAACCCAAAACTTTTTTTTGTTTTGTTTTGTATTCTCAGATTTCCATGCAGTTTGCTTAAGAAAAATGCAACGCATTTTGCGGAAATTAGCACTCTGAATGTTGCTAAAATTTAACATGCTCGTTATTAAAACATCTACTGTAGTATCATGCCTAGCAACTAAGCTGTGTAATCACAATACCCAGAACTTTATACAAAGGGATTATACGAAAAAAACATTTTATGCTTTATATTACAATCAAATGCTATTATACCTTTCCTGGAAGTCCATTGAGGGACACAGGAAATCTTTAACCTTTGGATTATACTGCTGCATACAGGAGGATTAGACACTGGCAAACAAAAACTGCAGACCAGCCTAGCATAACCTCTCTTACCACTAGCATGGCTTAGTTTGGTAGCAGAAGCAGTACAGAGAGTACATAATCAAACAGAGGGGAAGAATCTGTGCCCTTCAATGGACTCCAGGAAAAGAATGTTAGGGGAGTGCGAAAATCCTATTTTCTTTCTTTAGGGACACAGAAAGATTTTAACCTTTAGGATGTCCAAAAACAGTTCATCTGAGGGTTGGCCAACATGACAACCAATCAAAAACAAGCCCAAGAAAAGAAAAATAGAGAACTGTGGACTGCCTGCAGCTCAGAGTGCTGCCTGAAGGATCTTATGTCCACAGCTGGCATCAGCTGAGGCTGAAATGTCTACCTGTAGCACTTAGATTATGTGTGAATAGAAAACAAGGTGGTAGCCTTGCAAGCCTGAAAAAAATGCTAATTTTAGCTGAAATGCTAAAAAAAAAAAAAAAAAAAAGTCCAATAAGCACTAAGAGTTCTAGTAAAGTATGCCTTGACAGGATAGGGTGGAACCCAATTCTTAAGATCACTAAGCTTGAATTATCGTCTGTCTGAGCCACCTAGAGATGGTGGAATGAAAAGCAGGGAAACCCTTATGGGATGCTTGCACAGCCTGAACCACATGCAGACAATGCAGGGAAATTCCCTTTTGATGAACCAAAACCTGACAAAGACAAGGGAATAATGTACTGGATGTGAAAGGCAAAAACTAACTTAGGCAAGAAAGAGGTTTTGGGCCTCAATGCCACCTTTGCCAATGCAAGACCAAAAAGGGTTCCTTGCAAGGTAAGGCAACCAGTTTAGACTTGGAGAGGTGATCACAACAAGGAAAACCACTTGTGGGTGAGAGTAAAGAGAAGATTGTTTCCAATTAGCTAGAACAGCAGTTTCTGAAGCTCAGAGAGAACCGGATTATGATCCCACTGAGTGACTAGGGAATAGATATGGGGGGGCTATATTGAGGTATCCACTGTCCAAACTGCAGAGAGGAGGGGAAATCTCCAGCAGCAGTGTAGAGAAAAAAGAGTTGATTGAGGGGGGGGAAGAGTGCTAACAACATAATAGGTTAGTAACTACAAGAACTGAGGAAAGGACGTCCATCCTTCTAGGACACGAGCAAAAACAACCATGTTCCTAGGACAATAGCAAAAAAACTGAGGCAAGCAAGTAGTAGGAGGGGTTATCCTGGGTTGGCCTACAGTTCTTTTGTTTGACAATGTCCAAGCTTTCTATAGATGGCAGCGTAAATCTGTGCAACAATTATGTGACCCCTTTACTAGGGTTCAGAGGTGGCTCAGTCCATCTAGGGAGAGTTTTTGGTAGTAGACACTTAATATGTCAAAACAAAATATCTTTCCCCTTTTCTCCCTGAAACTGTTGGGGGTTTTGTTTGTACTGGCTGATACATGCACACTCCTGATACCTTATCTTATCTTACAGATGCCGACGATGACGTGCAGTGCCAACACAATGCAACACCAACAAACATTAAATCACTGACCACCAAATGTGAGCAAAAGAAAAATAGACAAAAAAATGCACAATGAACAGCAGTAAGAAACTTGAATTACAAAAAAAGAAAAATGTCACCTCTTACCTCATCGTCTTCTTCACTGCTTATTTGGGAGGAAGCAGTGCTCTTACTGGTGGAATCACTGCATGCTGCAGATGAATCCACTCCCTGCTCTGCTTCCCACTCCTGAACTACTTCATCCAAATTGAAACGTCTACGGTAACCAATGAAAAAGGTCTTCACTTGTGAAGGTGTCTTATTAGCAAGAACCTCTGAGATGGCCTGAAAATCCTTCCCATATCTTCTGAAAGCTGAAAGGGAAACAGCAAGAGTGTTCCAACTCTGTACAGTAAATCCATGCATTGTATTGCCACCTCCCACTCAAACTGTAATCTGCAATGGTTTCACCCATAGAAACAAGAGCAGGCACCAGATGCCATCTCACCTTGTACAGCCAGCAATTGCTCATCTGTAGTCCACCGCGAATTAAGTTTAATATTCAGCTAAAGAAAAAGCAACAGAATGCCTGTTTCAGGCTGAAAATGTTTCACAGGACATGGACATAAAAAGACAATAGGCCTTATTTGTCAGAATGAAGCATCTCTGCAACTCATATCAACAACCCAGATTCTACATGTTGCCAATGCAACATTGAAGAGTTAAAAGGTAAAATCTGAGTTGTTGCTTTGAGTAACAAGGACAGCTTTTCCTATAGGTAATATAAAGACCAATAGCAATGATGTATAGTAACCCATAACCACCAATCAGAAATCAGTCACAAAAACTCAAGACTCCAAACCTAAATTGGTGGGTCAAGTTTTTATGGTCTCCCAAAACAGTTTACTTTTAAAGGCATGCCATAACTGTCACGGTTGCCAGTGTGCATATTTCCGCTCTCAACCAAACTTTTAAGCCCTCAAATGGCTGGTGTCATAGCTAATCACATGTGCAGCACCATGGCAACTGCCATCCAAATAGAGGCTAGGATGGGCTGTAAAGGATACGAGGGAGTAAAGTCCGTGACACAATGCACGCGAAGCCGTGCAGAGCGAAGCAAAGCTCTCCGGCACGGAGCTTTGCGTGCAGTGTGTGAGCTGAGTGCAGTCAGATGATTGACTGCACCTTCAGCCAATCGGCTCGTCTGTAACAACCGGCCAGACGTCGCATCCCGACGCGCCGGTTTATACGCGCGAGCCGATTGGCTGAAGTTGAAATTGTTCATCTCGGCACGCTCAGCTCTGCGAGCTCTCGCCAACTGAGGTGCCGAGAAGAAAGTGACATGACACACTGCTCGCAAAGGCGGCGCGCCACCGCTCCGCGCTGCTTCGCGTGCAGTGTGTCACGGCCTTAATGCTTTAACTGCTCTGTGATTAGTAGTTACGGATTGCTATACACCACAGGCTCCCAATGAGTACAGTGAGATAAATCTTACCTCTGGAGGCCTCAAGTCATCAAGTCCTCCATTGAGAATTCCCCTAAAGCTGCTGTTTATCTGTTTAATATTCTGAACCTGAAAAGGTGAAAAAAAAACAAAATATAAAATACTTCTACTAACAATAAGAATATCAATATTATTTTAAACCATTTTTTATTTTGTATACAAGACAGCAATAGAAGACAAACTTAGCACATAATCTCAAGGCAATTGACATAAAAAGAACACAGCAATAGTATCAAAGGGCACAGTGTCTGAGAAATCAAAGTAGAAAGAGCAGATGACAGCGGCCAATGGACCATACACCTGTAGAGTGTGAGTGTGAGTGTGAGTGTGTGTGTGAGTGTGTGTGTGAGTGTGTGTGTGAGTTTTGAATAAAAATTCAAAAATTATTATATATATACTGTACTGTGGGGGGAATGTATCAAACTGGAGCAGACACAATCTGGAGCAGATTTGCATTGCAACCAATCAGCTTCTATCTTTCATTTTCAAATCTTTACTCAGCAAATTGAAGAGAGTTGCTGATTGGTTGCAGATTCTGATGCTCCAGGATAGAGGTTAGAGAGAGACAGAGCATGCGCTCTCTCATATATATCTATATATTTTTATTAGGTATGCACCGATGCTAGAATGCGCGTACTCGCCCAAATGCTCCGATACTGGGAAGTTCCGGTCAGAGGGAGATTTCCTCTGACCGGCAGTGCTGCAAGGGAGCATGGAGCCGGCTTCCCAGCCAATTAGGAAGCCGGGCGGCGGGTAATGAATCACTGGGAAGCTGGCTCCACTTTGTCATTATGGGGTACAACTGTAGTATCAGGCTGCAATATAACAAACTTAAAAAAAAGTGAAGGGGTTTCTTCAGGGTGGTGGCCAAAGGTCTTTCGTAAGATTCTAATGCAGCCCCGTGAACTCTGTAAAATGCTGCTTTTGTTGGTGCAATACAAATACAAGGAAATAATGAAAAAAATGTTACATTCCAAAGAATTTTAGAGGAAATCTAGAGGCGGCACTTGTAAAATGCTTATCGGTTTCCAGTATGAAGGAAAATGCTGTTCCGTCAGACTAAAACGTTTAAACCACCCGTGTAGTATTCAGGAGAGAAAAAAAAACATCAACTTGGTGAGAAAACAGATTGTATTCTTTTGGCAGTAAGTACAAGGGCTTACTTATTTCTCAGTGTCATACCCTTTAAGAGACAACTTGTGTTTTAGATTTTCACCAGTGCTATCATCTTCCCTACCTGGCGCTTCAGTGATACAAGTTGGGTTTCCTGTTGACACAACGTGAGTGCTGGCATTTCAGAAGTGGTACATACTCCAGCAATGTCACCTTTGCTAAGGTACATGCCCTTAGGAGGCCTCCTTCGAGATCGCCCGGGGTGATGGCGGTACGGTGAAACCATGGGATCTTTTTTGACTGGGATAGGCTCTCCTGAAATGGGCTTGGGGGTTTCCTAAAGTGCATTCCGGGAAAAAAAAAAAAAAGGTTAAATAAAAAATGAATGGGAGGAATAGGATAAAGAAATAATTATATTAATGATCACCTTTTTAAAGTCATTTTTTCCTGTTTACATCGATTGTGTAGGACTTTACAAGTGAATAGTGCATTGTCTGCTGGGATGCAAAATCTCTGACATGCATCCCTAGGTAGATACACACCTTAGTTTGTATCAGAAAAGTCGAGATCTAGTTTGTAAAAATTATTTCAAAGAGTTTTTAAACAGTGAGAGTTGCAATAGTTAGAAGCGCAGTCTTTTCAGATGTCAGCAGGGTGACTTTTGAACTACCAAGAGACCACCTATATTTCTTGGTTACATGTTTAATAAAATTGCAACATTCTCTCCATCACCATATATAGAAAAAAGTCAAATTAAGCAGAAGGAAAAAAAAGGAGATCATTTGGAACACGTAATAGGATTAGACATCCTGCACTCCAGAGTCATCCTAGTTACAGCGAAAGGTGGGCAAGAAATAAAAGGAAGGAATAGTTGCTAGAGAGCTGCAAACATTGCCACTAAACAGGTAGTTGGCTGTACTATTGCATTATGTTTTTTGCCATTTCTATGAGGTGCATCAGGCAGCCTACGTGGATCTTTCCAAAAAGACAGTCCTGGAGTCTTTGAAATGGGTGTCCAACCGACCATACTAAAGACAACTTTAAAGTTTTCTGGCATACGCAAAAAATAATGCAGGCAACACAGTGTTAAAGTAGATCTGTTAACCACTTCAGGACTATTGGTTGGTTGGTTGGCCTGCTTACACCTTAAGGACCTCAGCAAGTTTCAGATTATATCTATACAATTTAATTTCATTTGACAATAGCATTTTAAAGCAGAACTCAAGCCAAAAATAGCAAGATAAAAATGAATAGCCCTTTCAAAGATGAACTAACAAAACCAGCCTTTGCTGCAATATTCAGCCCTAATCCAGAGGTTTCCTACACAGTACTTGTTTTCTGTGGCTAGAAGTCCTCAGTCTGATGGCTAGCATCATTTGACTCACTACCTCTGAGGTCGCCCTGGACCCACCCCAGTCTGTGACTGAACAGTGAAAGCAGAATCAGCACTGTGATTAGCTTATTTCTGTCAGTCCTGCTTTCTCCTCCTATCAGCATGCTTCTGGTCAACATATGAGAAGATTGGCTGCTTGTACTGCTTCTACCTTTCCCAGTCCAGCTCTGCTGTACTGCAACTGTAAGAGGCTGAAACTAGGTCAAATTCAGGTACTTGCACTGCTTCACATAAATATTATACACTGCTTGTATTTAAAAATACATTTAATAATGTACAAATGATCACAGAGCTGCATTCATTTGTGCTTGGAGTTCAGGGTTAACTGCATAAAGCAAACCTATGATATGCACATGCAGGGCAAAGCAACAGACAGGTTAACCTTATTTCCTCTTTAAACAGCAGCTCATACTCACCTTTTCTTTACTCCCCACCCTCCCTACCATATATTTCTGGGTATAGGAGGAGCATGTGACAGCACATAACCACTTACCAAGCACCAGCACTGTAACATCGGGACAGTCCATGGCGCTGTGTGAGTTCACAACTAGGGCTGCAACCAACTAATCAATCGATAATGAGAATAGTTGATAACTATTCTCATTATCGATTAGTTGGTTGGATCCCCTAGCTCTCTCCTCCATGCTGGGAGGAGGGCACATCCTCCCAGCCAGCCTGCTATTGTAATTTGAAATGGCCACTAGCAGGCTGGCTATTGCCCCAGCCCACTACCTCCTGTACTTACATTCAGCTGCCATCTGCGGGATCTTGCCACTGGCAGCTGTCATTCCCCGGCTGAAGCTATTTAAGCGCCATGTTCGGTTTTGGTCTGGCAAATTCTGCTGCGGAAGGTGTGTAGTGCCATTCACTTCAATGGCACCCCCAAATACGCCTCCCACCCACAGTGTGATTGCCCACACTGGAATGCACGGTCCAGCAATGCCATGTTTTCCAGTGCAGTGCGATTGCAGAAAATTGTGCGTGCAGTTTGATTCTGAAGCAAACTTTATGTTTGGAACACTGCATTTGTGTATTTTATTTGAAATTAAAAAGGATATTTATTTAATATTTGTTATCCGAAAAAATAATCAGCCAACTAATCGATTATGAAAATAATCATTCGTTGCAGCCCTATTTACAACTGCTCCCAGCAGCTAAACAAAGTGAGAGGGGAGCAAAGGAAACATATTGTACATATGTGCTGCTTAGGAGTGGGGATCAAAGTAAACCTGCTGTTTTGCCCTACATGGTCAAAATACTAGTTCACTTTAAGATTCATGCTTGCAGATGACTTTAGCTGTCATGCTGGTAGTGGACCCCCAGTGGTGTGTACACACAGAAGGGAGGTTGAGACTATATTTCAGTACTACAGGAAATTTCTATAACACATTTGCTCCTCAAATGCATATTAAAGAGTCAAAAAAAGGTTTTGCCTTTTTAAATATTACACAAAACTGAGTAGAGGTAAAAAAAATAATAATAATAATACTACACCTGCTAAATGCAATCTCACCTCTTTCTTGGCATCATTAGCATCTGCCTCTGGGTCACGCATCTTGTGCAGATCTTCTACATCTTCCTGACTACAAGTGGCAGGAAAGCTTGACTTATTATAACAATTACATACCATGACAACCCCAATATATGCAAATTCACTTTCTGAACAGAAAATCTTCTGCTATATTATATCAGTCTTTTTCAGTCTCTAAAACCTCCTACGTGACACCTATTTTCTGCTCCCCACATATTATTGTTCTCACCCATTTTCCTTTTTGCTTTGCAGTCGACGAGCTTGTCTGTCCATCACACTTGTTCTGCTTCGTGTTTTCTTCCAGGAATAATAATATTTCACCAGGCTAGTAATCGGTTTATCTGGGAGCTGGAAAGCAAATTTGTAACCGGTGACTATGTTGTCAGGAGAACATCTGTACTATGCTATGTATACATACATAGCCCCAAATGAATGAGGTAAAAATTTACTTTACCGCTATGACTATGACAATACATTAGACTGCAAGCTAGTAGTAGTTAGTCCCATTCAACTTGACTTGTTCTGTAATGTCATCCAAGCAGCTTTAATAGTTCTAATGACTGTCAGGGACATATATAGCCACACAGGTAACTCAGACACCATGGAACATGTCATGGAAGATGTCAGTTGTTCAGGAAAGGTGTAAAAGTTTGTGTAACCACCAAGTTCTATTTCCATAATCTGGACACCAAGGTGCCATAAGTCAAGATGAATTCTCTCTAGTAATGGACCACAAAACTGGGGGTTACTAGAACTAGTCCAAAGGTCAAGCAAAAACATGGATGAAAAATATATAGTCATCCAGTATGTGGCTGGGGTTTTAGAAAAATGCAAAAAGGAAAGGAGAACTATGAGGCGAGTGCTCTTCACTCACCTCATAGTTCTAGCCGACCTGTGACAATGAGACGGTCACAGGTCGGCTCAGTAGATCGGGAAGTGAGAGCACACATACCCGCGTTCGCTCACTTCTCGATCCTGTCACGGCTCAGTCGTGACAGGGGAGGGGCTGGATTCCCCCCTCCCAGCTCCGATCCTCCAGCGCTGACTGGTGGAACGGACGGAGAGGGGGCGGGTACAGCTGGCTCTGCCTCTAGATAGGCAGAGCCAGCTGTCACTCACGCAGGTGGGCAGATCCAGACATAATTGTCGGGATCCGCTTCAGCGTCTCAGTATACCGCGAGCTGTAGCTCGCGGTATATTGAGCTTAGGGTGACGGGAGGACACTAGTTTGTGTCCTCCCGTTGCCCTAAGGAGAACTATGGGGAAAAGCCCTAACCCCATAGTTCTCCTTTAAAACCCAGCAACACACAGACAGAAGCTTGTAAACCTAATAGACCCAACAAAACACAGGCTTGTTATTTACCTCTCCTGTGTACACATCCAAAAACAGGGAGATTGCTGCTGGGTGCGGCCATCTTGGGTGTGATGTCTGCAACCTCAAAGCTGTCACTCAAGTGATATACTATAGTTCTCCTCTACGCTATTCCCCAGACTGCTACATAAAAAACAGTGTTATATAGGGAGATGAGGGCAGGAGGAGAGGAGTTGAGCCAGCCCAATATTTTCTGTGCTTTACCCAGCGATTTCTTTTGGTAACAGGGTCTCTTTGAAAGAGGCAATTTATGTCAAACTGGAACAGCCATACCTAAACAGCAAAGGAGACTTTGACAATGCCATTTTCAAATCTCTACCCCAACAACAATTCACACCTTCAGCCATGTAAATTGAACAATTAACCCCTGTGCCAGCGGTCCTGGAGTCATGGTGACTGGATGATTGTGGAAATAGAACATGGTGGCTTTACAATCTCTCACACCACTGTAATGTTCTTGGCGAATCAACATCGGTCTTGACGGATTCAATGGTGACAAGCCATGTGACTATAAATGCTCGGGTATGCTCCTGGCACCCATATAAAAGGAGCAGTAAAAACATTTCATTAACTATGCTTTCACTTCCTATCAACATGACCACAACCCTCGCTCAGATCTAGAGAGCTCGGGCCGGCCGTTTTTTTACTACGGCCGGCCCGGAGGTGGTTAAAGCTGAACTGCACTTACATTGGGCCAAGCAGGACATCGAAGTATATAGGTATACATACAAATTTATATGTATGTATACCCATATACTTGGATGTCCTGCTTGGCCCAATGCAAGTACACAATATTTTATACCTGGTAGGGCCACAGGGATCCTGTAAAACACTGTATTAGCCGGAGCTACTACAGTTCACAGCAATCTTCCAGGTTCTGTGTGCCTCTGAGCAGCTTCCACTCTGCTGTTAAACACAGGATGTTGCTTGTTGGGCCATTTAGAGAACAGCTGGTATTTTTATCAGTTAACACAAGGTGATCTTAAAATTGGACAAGGGGCAGGTTGTGATGTCACTGTACCTTGCCCATTCAGAGAATGCCTTGCATTCAAATTTGCAAAGTAGCAGGTAAGTGAAGAAAAGACGTATTAGTTCAAAAGATGCTGTACTTGTACCCATAGATCCCAGGCTGGGGTGCTAGCTCCCCACTGGTTCATTCTTCACCTCAGAATTCAGTACTAGTAAAAGGAAAGGTAGCCCCATTCCAAGTCATAAGCCACAGCTGACCATTTCATTAAGGGTCCAGTGCGCAGAGTCTCTACTCTACAAATAAACTCATACAAGTGCAATGTGTCAGGTCAGGTGGTCTATCTTGCACTGGTCCATTCTTACTTAACAATTAAGGGCCAATCCACACCAACAGCTGCACTACATTGCACATCTGCTGGTGTGCGTTGCCAGGCACAGTGCCAATGCACCGATCCTGGCGCAAGAGTAACATTTCAGTAAGTTCTATAGGGATAGCACGGTGAGATGTGGTTACAGCCCTCTGTGCTGAAAAAAAAAAAGTTCACATGCAGTGCTGTGAACGGAGCCCATTCGAAACTAGGCAAATTGCCTTGTCCAACGCTGGGCCACGTACCTGGTATGAAAGCAGCCTCAAAAGTTCAGCCATGGCTTTTAATTTGACATGTGGCGACCTTTCCTTTTAGTAGTATTATATTATCATTATCAGCTGTAGATACGACTGTAAGAAAAAGTAATAATTACCATTTGCTGTATGCGCTGAAAACATTTTCCATGGAAACTGAAAGCCTGCTCAAAAAGCACCTTGTCCTCGATGCTCCACTCATCAGGGAATGGAGTAAAGTTTGCCAAGTCAGCTAGAGAGCGCTCCACATCATGTTTGTGCCACAAGAGCATACCTAAAGCCTGTCAATGACCAGAAGATACAATATAAACCTTGGTGAGTAGAATAAAAAGTAGAAAATAGCAAGACCAAGCAAACCCAAAATAGCCATTTGCCAAATAGGGTGAAGGTATATGTGTAAATCTGTCATAGATGCACTATAAACTTGTAAGACAAAATTTCCAAACTTGGTGCTTTACTAAAAATACTGATACACGTAATACATAAATGTAGCCGGATCTATTTAACAAGTCTGTGTAAAGTGCAGAAATCCAAAGCAACTATTTAGAATAGAATGTATTATGCAATGATCTGCCTGAAGTACATTGAAAGGTTTGCTATTGTTTATTTACTTTGAAATGACTTATTATAGAAGCACGAATGTCAATGCCAGCACACTATTGGGGTATGTCAAAATTATAAGTGACACAAACTACTAGGAAGGTCATAATGACTAAGACGAACCTCTTTAGTGATTCATATCTTACCTGCTCTTCATTGTAGCCATGTTTTTCCTTTGCCATTAATATATACTCATCCACTGCAATACAGAAGAAGAATGTTGCTTTAGTCAAGAAAGTTTCATAAAAACTCAAGCATGTATTCAGAACATGGACTAATGCTGCTGTTTAATATGATTGTATTATCTGCCACATCACAAAGGGATCTATTTACAAATGATTGAGAGTCATTCACCCTGAAAATCTCTGAACATTTGTTCTTTGTGAATAGAGGTAAAAATGAACGGTCTTTATAGGTTGAATGCAACATATGTAAAATACTGCACTATGGCCCCTAGGAGTATAGGAAATAAATACAGGTGAAACTCGAATAATTAGAATATCGTGCAAAAGTAATTGCAGTAAGTGCTGCAAAAGGGGCCCAAACCAAGTACTGAGTACATATGCATGCTTGTACTTTTCAGAGGTCCGATATTGTTCTATGTACAATCCTTGTTTTATTGATTGCATGTAATAATCTACTTTTTTGAGGTTGTGGATTTGGGGTTCTCATGAGCTGTAAGCCATAATCATCACAATTATGACAAATCACGGCTTGAATTATCTTGCTTTGCATGTAATGAGTCTATCTCATATATTAGTTTCACCTTTTAAGTTGCATTAGTGAAATAAATGAACTTTGCACGATATTCTAATTATTCGAGTTTCACCTGTATATGTAATAAGTTTCATCTAGTGCCCATAATGGGGTATTCTATAACATCCGACCTGAAAAGAAAAAATAAGAACATTCGTTTCTGCCGCTATTCACACAGAACGAATGTTCACAGAGATTCACAGGTCGAATGGCTCTGTACACTGTTTATAAATAGAGCCCCCAAGTCTCTATCAGTGGTGGACAACTGCCTGGCTATAAAAAGTCCTCCACTTTCCTGCTGGTTCCTCCTGGTCAAATTTATGTCACTACAGGACACAATGGCGACACAGGGATTGGTGGAAGGAACCACTGAACACAGCAGGGTACCATGAGATCTACAATGTTGATTTCTTAAGGGACTTCTGGTGACAATTGCTGTGCATTAGAGCAACAGGCAGTAGGAGAGGCAAGTATTTAATTTTCTTTTTTGCAGGTAGAACTATGATTGCCATTTTAGCAAAGAGACAATATAAAGAAACAACAGATAACATACTCGCCTATTAACATTTGTAAATAGATATTTGCTTAGGAGAACATGGTCTTTTGCATGTGGGCACAAAATACAGTAAACCTGCTAATAAGTCTAGCTATTTTCCACCCCCAACCACACCAACCAGGAGTGTAAACTGCTTTAAGTGGCACTAAACTCAGGAGTTAAACCTTAAAAGATGCATTCAAGTTCCTTAACAAAAATGTATCTTATTTGTGCATCACTCGGCTGTAGATCCCCAAATCATCTCTGAATACATGCTGACAACATCCTTCCTTCTGGAGGGTGGCAACTTTTGTTCCCCATGGTCCCTGTGTGTTTTGTAAAGTAGCTGTTTGTACCCGCTCTCCTCTCTGACGCACTGTCGCAGGAGGCTGAGAGAGCGGTGGGGGGAGGAGAGCTCAGCCTCCTCTGACATCGTCTCAGCCCACACACCGCTCTGCCGGACTGTGATAGAAGGCTGAGCGGTGTGGGAGGAGAGATGCCGGCTGCTCACAGCGCTCTCCTCCCGCAGCCCTCGGCCGTCACTTTCTCTCCTCCCCGCTGGAACAAAGAGCAGTGCCCAGCGGGGAGGAAAGAAAGCAGGGATGCGCCGATGTATCGGCAGGAAAATGGCACTTTCGGCATTTAGCCAAAAGTGCAATTTTCGGCCGATATATCGGTGCATCCCTACTGTAAAATGTGAATAAGCTTCTCCACACGAATGACAAGACTAATTACAAAAAACAAACAAAAACAAAGCAAAACACTCATGCTTTGTCAATGTAAAAATAACAAACCGAAACATAAAACAAACAGTGAAAGGTAAGGAATAAGCATGCTATCCTGGAAGACTAATGAATGCCTAACTTTCTCACTGTTTTAGTAGTCAATAAAAAGTTTGGTAGTTGCTTTCCAGATAACTTGGTCTTAGCAATAGATACTACCATCAATGTGGCAAAGATATAACCAATTTAGCCTTAATTATAACCAGAACTTTCTTCTCCATGCAGCCATTAACACATGAATGAGCTTGTTTAAAACATCAGGTAATCGTATCTTTGAAGGCTTGACAAATCTTCTGAGATTTTGAATGGGAAGCCCCAGGTCTTGCACTCGTGGAGATACTTGTAAGTTCACTTCAACCAAAGTAGACTTTCAAAAAACAGCACTGGAACAAAAAGCTTTTAGAGCTTTGGCACACCCCCTCTTTCCGACTAACAAATGAGACTGTCCAGAAGACAATGGAGTACTGCTTTTAGTAAAGCAAGATTCAGACAACGTACCGTTTTAGTTGAAAATCTATTGGTTTGAGAGTGACAAAGTATGCCACCAGAAGGTGAGAAGAAAGTTCCAGTTTGTTTCTCTCCCTTATTATCCGAAAGGCAAAAAGGACTAGGAGGCAACTACAACCACTGGGGATAAAAAAAAGAGCTCCGTTTCCACACAACCGGGACTCCGTATGATTTTTCAGGGGCATTGGAAAAATTAAATGGAAAATCTTGTTTCAATTCACCTTACTTTTTCTATATCCATAACTGTTCCGGACTTGGATGGTGCATCACCAACCCAAGCACTAGTGCAAACCACCTTTGGGGAATTAATGAAGCGTATGGTGCGAGCAACCATCAGTACAACCTCTACCAATACATCAGCAATACGAATGACTGCCTACATTTTTTTGGATGCTTTCCAAACAAATATCCAAAATGTCTAATCTTTTATACATGGTATCCCAGTGTTCAAAACGGTAGCGTCCAATCTTAAGTCACTTGTCTCATCACACACCATTATTATTAGTAAAGGATTTACATCAAGAGATTTGGAAATAATCTTTCTATTCAGGCATTTTCATTACTCCTTCACAAATCTTTCCAGACCCTGATGTTCTTTCTTGCAACTCTCAGTAGATCTTTTCATGGATACTTTAGATTTTCATTATTTCTGAAGTCTCAAGTGGGTTGATTGTTTTCCTCCACATAAATCGGAAGACCTTCTCTTTCTCATTGGGATCAGGGTGTTTTTTCTCCTACATAGAGCTCTTTAGAGATACCAGTTTTCCTCATGTATTTCCTTTTTCTCCTTATACAATCCACTAAACACAGATCTATGTGATTGAAATTAGGAAGTCATCTCTTTTCATAAAAGGTCCAAAAAAAATCTATCATAGATAACATTTCTCTCACTAAATGATTTATAGAGTCTAGCAAGGAAGATGGACAAGGTTTCTTTCAGATGTACAATTTGGAACAGACACTGTGCCATTTACTTTTACAGTTTGTTGAACAAACACACATCTTGGAAAACATGGATCCAGGCCCAGAAAGAATGACAAGCCACAGAGGAACCCCATGACAAAAACAGAAGAAAAGGAAACACTCGAGAAAGAAAAAGAGGAATCATAAAAATCCCCAAAACACTAGTCAAAAGTTTAAGCAGAAGATGTAACCATATACCAGTGCCAATTAGCAGTATATACCAACCATATACCAGTGCCCCTAAAGCAATTATCAGCCAATGCTCCATTCTGAGCAATTTTATGGTAAACACCTGATGTCTGCTTCTCCAAAGACATGTAGCAGACCCAAAGACTCATACAGAACTGTAAACTGGTGGAATAAAAACACAGTTAGAGTTGTTCCCTTTTAAAAATGGCTTTGACTTATTTGGCAGACTCTGGAGCATCATGCTTCAGGACATAGTGAGACTTAGAACTGTAATAACACAGCATGCAAGCATGCTTTGAGCTACCAAAGGGCCACTAAGAATTTGGCAGTGATACTAGTGTCACGTTAAGGACATTCTTGGTGAACGAAAGCAAAATCAGCAAGCAAGGTACACCAGCTTAAATAGCAATGAAAGACAATTTACTAGTGGGCAACTGTTGTGGAATGAAGCAAACTCCATATTCGTCTCCAAGATGAATGAAGGGAATACACAGTGTATTTGTTTTTAGTTTAAATGAGCAGACACAGACTTACATTTTGTACCTGGTATTACGTGGCTTGGTGACCAGACCAACATATTTTGCATTTCCTCATCGTCGTCAGGTGGTGGCGCCTTGCCTGTTGAGAGAGATAGGAGAAAACCAACATGGACAGATTATACAAGATTCTAAGCATAAAGTCAGTGCATGGTACAGTTACAAATGCCAATATGTTTAAATACAGTACAGTGGCTCAGTGGTTAGCACTTCAGTCCTAACAACTAGCCAGCAGCTGCTGGGTTAAATAATGACAGCAGACTGCCGCTGTCATTGTTCAACTCCCTGGCTGCTGGTGAATGATCGCCAGGAAAAATAGAGGAATTAATCTCCCCAATAAGGGCAAAGATAGCAATTAAAACTTAAAGGGTCTAACCCTTCACCACTATTCAAAAACTAAAATATATACACACACACACACACACACGCACTTTAATGTATGATTTTACATTGCCAATATTATGAACTCATTTTAAATTGGCAGAAAATACCCACTGGCTGAGAACCTTTGTGCTAGCCCCATACACACGTTTAATTAGACTGAAATAGTTGACAAGTGACCAGGCAATGCTTGGGTTTCACATTAGAAAGCAATGATTGCCAAGGATGCACCCACATATTTTTTGTTTACAAATGATAAAAATGCCAATATAAAATTACATAATATGTAATCTTTAATGTTTTGTTGTCTTACATTTCATTTTAGATGTCTCTCTGGTAGAGACATTTGGACACTTAGTTTTTTAACAACAAAAATAGTGATAAACTGACCTAATTAATGGAAAACTTGAAAAGGTAACATTGCTTTACTTTTGTGCACCTCATATGACTGTTAAACAAAAATTAAATATAACACAAAATTGAACATACCCGTGTTATACTCAGGAAGCTGTGCCTGGTAATCGGAGCCCACTCTGATCATGCTATCTAAAAAGAAGAAACAATAACAAAGGTTTAAAAGAAATGGAAGAAAAAAAAAACTGACATGAGAGAAAAAGATATAAGCTAGCAATGCTGACCTCTTCCTGAAAATACTAGTTGCTTGGCTGTCTGTGGCTTAAGGGTTTTATAGATGTCTACTGAGGATTTTAACATGTCTAAGGTTTGTCCAACCATTCTCAGGTACCAGGAATGGACATCACTGCAAGAAACACAAACGTTCAGTTTGACTGAACATTTCTACTTGCGCTAATGATCAGGCAGAGAGAGGACAATCTTGGTGCAGGCAGCCACTGTTTTTTTACAGTGTGAAACAGCAATCTGGACAGGATTTCTAACTAGCCTGATCCTTTGTTCACCCCAGTAGCAGTAGTCCACTGGTTGTGTTTAGGGTCCCTACATGACCACTTAACTCTATAGGTAGCTCTAAGAGTAAACATCATACACATCTGACGGAAGCCTGAATACAATAACTCATTACTTCCTAAAACAGAATATACAGGAAACATTATGGCAGGTAACAAGGAAATATAAGGATTGATACCCAGGTCTGTTTAATACAAACCTTGTAAAAGGTTTCAAAATGACAGTGTATATAAGGAAATTATTACAGTTAGCATACTTATTAAAGGATTGTGGTTCTTACTGTTTTTACCTGAAAGTCACATGGTTAGTTTAAAAGACAAAAGAAGGCTAAAGAGAGATAAAAAAAGCTAGTGGTAATAGGGGAGGAAATAAGCCACTGAAAGCAGGATATACTATATGGAAATTTTGGGTGATGGTAGAGCTACATATAGCAACAAAGTTGATAAGTGGATGATTTGCTAGCACCAGTGCCAGAACCAGCGTAAGACAATAAAAAGAGCACATGGCATGAGAGATCAAGGAGGACATGAAAAGGCATAACAAAAGCAGGCAACACCAGAGGAAGCTGATGAAAACTACCACTACATTGCAAAAATAATCTCAACCTTTGAGAGAATGATAAAGCTGGTATTGAAAGATGGAAAATCAAAAGTTGTGACACCTGGGAATTCTAATAAAGTGGACCTATCATGAAAAAATGTACATCTTGTATGAACGAATAATGCATACATCAGT